TCCCTCTTTCTGCACTAACTTAGCTGCTCTCGCTGCCATTTTTCATTTACATCGAAGCGTACGCCCGCAAATCTCCAAAAATTATCTGACATCCTCAGTTATTTTCGAGCTTCAAACACTTAAGCTATAATTCATGTGCAGCTAAGAATGATTCTGATTCGAATCAGTACAAGCAAATGGATTTGCCTTAAATGAAGCGTTTTCTTATACGCATGTGAGACCTAGGTGTGCCTAAAAGTTGAATTTAAAATCTTTAGGTCTCACATGAGCATTAAATATCCTAGTAAATATTACGCTTAGCTTGACTGGTTGCCGAAGTTGCTCGCGCCAAAAAATCTTTGAAATGTCCAAACGCACGGCTACAGGCATGCGCTAAAATTTATTTTATGCTTAAGGTCTGCACATGGACACAGACATTCTTGTAAAAGTAGAGTTTTCTATTTAATCTAATATATCATAGTACCAACGACGTTTTAATCTGAAATATGACGTGCCCGTTCACGTAATATGGGCATGCGCGACAACTAAACTTAAAATTTTTGCTGAACTTGAAATTTTTAAGTCGCATGTGAACAGAGGACATCCTTGTAAAAGTATGCTTCGTATCTTGTCTGGTTCCCAAAATAATTTTCCCTGCCAAACGTTTTCTCATTTTTTAGAAGTTTGCGCTTGGAACGCGAGCATACGCAAGGAATCAGTTTAGGCTTAGACGATCGTACATGAATCGGAAATAATTTGGTAGAATTTCAGCTTGCTATTGTCTCTGGTTGCTGACTAGAAAGTAGGTAATGAATCCGAACACACAGACACAGGTATGCACTTACACGCACACACAACCTTTCGGGAATATACGTTTCTGCGTCGCTTTAGTTATGCAAAAGCACGTCAAAATTGAAAAAAAATTAGGTTGTTTAGTCGTATAGCTCATCCACAGCGACACAGAATTGGGTTTCACTAAAAAAATCAGCCGGAGAGCAAAGAATTTTAGCAGTGTGCAAAAGCAGCAAAACGATGTATAGCGTTCTGCTGAAATGTTACTCAGATCCACTAAGGCAGTTTAAAACTAAGGCAGTCGGAAAAGGAACGCATTATTTCAGTTCTGAGGTTGTCAATATTTCGGGAGCGAGGGGGACGGGTAAAGGGGAAAGTCGGGATACTCGCCTTTATCTCTTCTTGTTTCGCTCCAAAGCCTTTGTAACTAAAAAACAATCAACTTCAGTGTTGCTTCTCAGCCATAAAAGCGAATTGTTCGCACCCATTATATTTCTCTTTATTTTAGCATCTAGTCAATTCTAAATCATTGATCTGTTGCAGTACGACGATTATTGGTACGATCGCTATTATTACTACAGTCCGCTCTATCGCAGCACGTTCTTCCCACGTCGCTACTACTACACCGACTACACTCTTAATCCGTACAGTTTCTGGTACTATCCGTATAGCTACTGGACACGATACAAGGGTTACCTGTATGTTTTTATTTTATTTTGTTTTTCTCCCTGACAACATGTGTAAATTGCTAGGATTTATTTAATATCGTGGACGGCAACGCAACCAGGATTTTCTTCCGGAA